AAGTATATTCAGGTTCTCTAAATTACTACTAATTTTTCAGATGCCCACCTACCAACAACTGAGCACAGAGTACTGAAACCCCACACTGTGGAGACATGTCTGACTGTTTCTCCCTCCAGTGCTCTATGTGTTTTGATTCTACTTTATTATATGCATGCTCGTTTTAAGTTTTAATTTCTTCTTGGTGAATTGAACTGTTTTCATTATCTCATGGCATTCTTTGTCTTAATAACACTTTTTTTCTCAAAGTCTATTTTGTCTCATATCAATGTAGCTACCCCCAAGTTTCTTTTGTTTATTGTTTCCCTGGCCTGTCTTTCGTTTGAGTGTTCACTCCCAATCATGCGATGCCCTATGTTTTAAGTGTGTCTCTTGCAAACAAAATTTAGCTGGATTTTGTTTTTAATTGGTGAGTTTACCTATCTGCCTTTACAGACTATGCACAATGGAGGGTGTTTAGGTCATGAATAAAGGAACTCTCACAGGAGTGTTTGGTTAGCTTTAACAGGGCACCCAACCAGCAGTGGCACACAAGGTTCTGCTGCCCAGCGTGGACAGAGCAGAAGATTAGCATCACTTACAGAAAGGGCCTGACAGTCACACATCTCATCTGGGGCTGTCCCATGTCTGCCTGCACCCACAGTCCAGCGTCTGGAGAGATCTGGAGAGAGTGCAGATCTGTAGAGAGATCTGTTCTAGTTTTGCCCAGCAGATTCACAGCCAGCCATTGGAAATACGAGGCATGGAGAGGAGTACTGAATCCATCCTTAATAAGGGTTCCTGATTCCTGTTAGAGCTAAATGATCGTTAAGACAGCAGTATTAAGGGAAAATACATTGCACCATTCTATTCCTGCAGTGGCTTATACATATTTGATGTGCAGGGACTTCTTATATTTTATAAAATCATTTGCAAGATTTTTAAAACTGTGCCTGAAGAATAATCTATATGTTCTCTTAATGCTTTCCACTAAACTAGGTTTTCATGATTATTTTCTACAAAATGACATTATTATTTTGCTTCCACTGTGCCACTGGCTTTCCTGTGTCATTTGTTTCTCAAATTCAGTCAGAGGAGGTAAAAACATTTAAAATAGTTTCTTAACCAGAGGTGGAACTAAAAAATTGCTTGACGCTTCCAGTTAAACCAAAATGGGATAACTGTGCAATTCACCTCTGGGGAAGGCAGTGGTAATGTGTACGGTAGTAAAACAGAGGCTATTAAGTGCCTGCTAGGTGTGTGAGTGCATGTGTGTGTGATCTCCACTTAAATACGAAAATTTAAGGCTCAGAGGTGTTAAGTAATTGGCCCAAGGTCACACAGGCAGTGAAGGGTTGAGTCATGACTCAACTTCGGTCTCTCTCAATCCATCGTGATGAAAAGAATGAGTCCTGGCGGGAACCGACTGGAATTCATATCCCAGCTCCACCATGTGAAAGCTATGTGGCAATGGGCAAGCTGCTTTTTTTTTATTTCCCAGTTTTATTGGGAAATATTTGCAATGCACCACTGTATATGTTTAAGGTATACAGCTAGATGGTTTGATTTACATATATTGTGAAATGATTATCACAATAGGGTTAGTTAACATCCATCATTTCATATAGATACAATAAAAAAAAAGAAAAAATTCTTCTTGTGATAAGAAATGTTGGAATCTACTGTCCTTTTTTTAAAAAAGATTTTATTTATTTATTTTTAGAGAGAGGGGAAGAGAGGGAAAAAGAAAGGGAGAGAAACATCAATGTGAGAGAGATATATTGATTGGTTACCTTTTGCAGTTCCCTAATTGGGGAACCTGCCCACAACCCAGGCATGTGCCCTGACAGGGAATCGAACTGGCAACCTTTCTGTTCACAGGCTGGCACCCAAATCCACTGAACCACACCAGCCAGGGCAGAATCTACTGTCTTGACAACTTTATTTTTTAGGCTCATTTTCCAGATTGTTTATTTGAAAAATATACTGATGATGGCAGTTATGATTTTTAAAAATTGTCATTCACTTTTTTTTTTAATTTAAATTTTTATTTTTTCAATTACAGTTGACATTCAATAATATGTTAGTTTCAGGTGTACAACACTGTGGTTTGGGCAAGTTGTTTACTACCCTCTTGTATCTCAGTTTCCTCATCTGTAAAATAGGAGTAGCAGCATCGATCCCTAGGGTTGTTGTGAGAATTTAATGGGATAATGAGAGGAGATGCCCGGAACAGAGCCTGGCACATAGAGAAAGCTCAAAAACTCTGAGTCCTCATGGTTTCGGGGGGTGTTGGGCTTCTTTACCACTGATGGGTGACATTACTAGTCAAATTTTAAAGTTTCTTTAATGTTTTGTTCATCTGGTTCTCACCCTCTTCTTCATGCATCCTACTCACCTGCCAGATGGGTTCACTGGTTCCTCAGGGCCCATTGTTGGCTGCCTCCACTTCCCTCCAGCTGCCCTGGCCCAAACGAGAGGGCGCCTCCCCCTCCTCCACAGGCCGTCCTCTGATTTTCCCCGTGAGATGTGAACTCTCATAGCTCTTGAAGCTTTTCTCGTGGTGCTCAGTGGGTGTCTGAGTCACTCCTCCATTCTATAAATATTTCCCAAGCACCTTCTGAGTGCCTGGTCCTGTTCTAGTCACTGGGCCCCTCCCTCATGGAGCCGGTGACCTCATTTGAGGAGCGGGAGAGAGAAACAAACACCCACAAAAGGAAGAGGAGGTGGGGGCGGGTAGGAGGAGGAAGAAGAGGAGAAGGAAGACACCCGAGTTCTAAGTGCTGGCTGTGGTGGAGGTGACTAGGGATGGGAGGCATCCTATGATCAGTCCTGCTAATCTCCTGGCAGAAGGTGGGAGACCCATGCAAGCTGCGTTATGCGGGGTCCTGGGCCGTGCTCTCTCCAGCACTCAAAGTTCCAATTCCCCAGATTCGAGCTGAGTTTGAGTTTAAGCTCCATCACTAACCAGCTGTGTGAGTTTTTAAAAGTCAGCCTACTTATGTTCTTCTGCAAAACTGAGGTAAATGTTCAGTAAATTGCCCAGTTCACAAGAATCATTTGAGATAATGAACATGAAGGCATTTTGAAAACCCTAAAGTTCTATAAAATGTTAGTTAAAAATTAAAATGTGTATAGCTTGTGTTATAATTACCAGCCTCTAAACTAGAGTGGGGCCAATTACTTCTTTTTATCTGCCACAATACCTAACCTAGATCCTGTATTCTAGAGATTACAAGCTTGAGTAGTACCACACAATAAAAGCATATAAAATATGTGAAAGGGTCTGTGATTAGTGCCCTCAGTATTATTGTCAACTTTCGCAACATTACTGTGTAGTTGTAATGCTTTAAAAATTCTGGGGAAAAAAACCAAAATCTAATCTTTCTTTTCACCAAATCCACTGAAATGAACAATAAAAAAGCATTGTTTTCAAGGTTCAAGTCATACAAATACTTATACCTCTGGCCTAATAATTCCATTCTTAAATATTTTATCTTTTCATCAAGCTCAACATATATACAGAAAAGTGCAGAAATCATAAGTACAAATATGAGTTTTCAGAGAGTGAACATGTAATTAGTCCCACTCCTAGAAACGATGACAGAAAATATTCCCCTAAACAGAAAAGCTGTATTTCTAAAGGCATTCACAGTGTGGCAGTGAAAAAGCTGATTATTTGGTGGAGGAACGATCAGGTAAACGTGACACATACATTTTGAACCATGTATCAGAATTCATAAAACTCGGATGCCCTTGAGTCGGGCAGGGGAGGACTACGAGAAGCAGCCAAGTACAGGATGGTGAGGGGTGAGGGGGGTGAGCAAAGAGCACAAAAACTGAGAGTGCAGCGTGCAGGCCCTGCCTGGACACTTCCACGTGAAAGTGTTAAGAAACAGTATATGCTGGAAAACGTTTCTGTTTTTCTTGCCAGTCACCCTGCTGACTTGGATGACTTACAGGATGACATCCTTTTCACTGCTGAAAATATCCTCTCTCATTTGGGTTTAAAGGGGTTTTTAAATTACTTGTATTTCCTATTTAAATACCCCATAGAAACTTGAGGTTTGCTTATAAAATGAAAATGAAGCATGTAATGTTGCAAAAAAAAAATAGTAAACCAGAAGAAAAGAAAACATGATGCGGACCAAACAAAATGTGTCATGGGCCACACTTTACCCACAGGCCGTTAGTCTGTGACCCTCGCTGAGAGACAGAGGGAGAGAGAGGCAAGGTGAACACGCCAGGTGCAGCGATAGGGTTCCAGCAGCACACACAGTATGGCTGCTTACGGACAAGGACTGCAGGGAAACACAGGTCTCGGTGGGAATTAACCAAATCACCTCACCCCTTTAATCTGCAGTTTCTTCCTCTGTAAAATAGGGATTTAAAAAAAAAAAACCCTTAAAGAGCTGTTGTGAAGATTAAGTGTATAGAAAAGTACCTGTAGTTAATATAACAATGTTTCCCTCCCATTATTTTATTCTCATTATTACTATTTCTGATTTAGTATCCCACCATCCTTTTCCCCCATTTCCCAACTCCAGCCCCACTAGCTTTCTCATATTGTTCTGACATGCTTCAGCCTCCGGCCCTGGGTCTCCACCCATGCCCACCCCCCCACCCCCACCCCTGATGCTGACCTCACTTCATGCAGGTCCCTGCCCCTCACCTGTCTCCATCTCTCACCCTGCTTTATCCTGCATTGTGCTTACCACTGCCCGACATCCTATTATGAACATATTTTTAAACTGATCTGTTTATCCTCTACCCTGGAAGATGAGCTCCATGAAGGTAGGAGCTCACTTGCTTAATGCAGCATCCTAGCGCCTAGAAGGGTCTCAGCATATAACAGACATTCAAGATATATTGTTGAATGTTCAAACCAGAGACATCACATGTTATTTTTTCCCTAAATCCCAGGGCTACAATGTGATTTGTGTCATTAATGATTTAAAAATACACTTCTTGCAGGTGATCTCAATGGGTAACTCGTTTATCTTTCCTACCTTGTCTGGCAGGTCAGCCGTGCAGAAACTGGGTGCGGAAGTATTTAAGGAGGTCTATAATTGCCTCAAGAGAGCAAGGCAGCAGAAAGCCAGTGAAGCGGAGATTAGAGCGTCTCTGGAGAAAGTGGTTCCTCGTGCCAGTGACTGTTTTGAAGTCGACCAGCTCCTCTGCTTTGAGGAGCAGCTGCTGATCACAGTGGGAGAAGGGACTACACTTCAGAACCAAAACAGGCAGATGTCAAAAGCAAGCAAGTTCCAGGGAACAAATTTCTGTGAAAATCCTTTCAGTACCTAAGCTGGACTGTATTATGGGAGGTGAGCACGTAGGCCAAGCTACCATCTTTACTTCCAATTCCCTAACCAAAGGAGTTAGAGAGTAGCGGACACACAGGTCTGACTGTGCTCAGTGTCTTGGGGGCCAGTCGGTATGGTTGGGTTTCCACTCTGAGATAAGCATATGGACCGGGTTTGGCTTCAGGAACAGCATCCCTGCAAGGGTACCCTCTGGGCTGCCCCTGGAGTTGGGCCACTGAGGGTGGCTTGGGAGGAGCCCACCACTCTGCCCCTTCCTCTCAGAGGACAGACTTAGTACCTCTGCCTTGGGGCTCTGTGGGCTGTGGCCAGCCTGCCCTTGAAGATTGTTGGACACTGGCCTCTGAAATGCTGAGCTGCTGCCCAGGAGTCAGACACACCTGTCTCAGGTGACCTGTTTTTGGTCCACTTTTGTCCTTCCATAGCTCACAAGCAAGAAGTGCCTATGTATATAGACCTGGTAAAAAATCCAAAAGGTGATTCTCCTGTGATATATTCTTTATACTAATGAATGGAGTATTGAAGACTCAAGACTTTTATGCTTAATAAATAGATTATCCAGAGTTACAAAAAAATCACCTGTTTTAGTGTTTCTTTACCTAAAAGTACTTTGTTGAGTGTAACACAGCCATCTAACAATAATTATTACTTAGACCAGCTAACATTTGGTTTAGTAGGAGCCTATTATATACCAGTACCATGCTTACTACTGTAAGAACATATTGGATCTTTACACCAAGGAGAGAGAGACAGAGAGAGAGACAGAGAGAGAGAATGAATTATCACATTTTACCTCTGGGGATGCTTGAGGCTGAGGATGTTCAAGTTAGGTAACTGCTTAGTCACACAGCCATGAAAGGCTGAGCTGAGACTGCACTCAGGTCTGTCTGATTCCAGCACCCATGCTCTTACCCATGATGCATGTGGGTTTTCAACTGAGGACATACACATGTTTAAGATACTGTCCAGGGAAGAATACTCTGGGTTTAAGACCATGTTATAGGGGAGGAAAGACTTCCTCTTCCCTCATAGGTTCTACAAATTAACCTGGGTCTTAAAATTAAACTGACAAAAGATAGATTACCAGGAGAAAAAGCATACAGATTGCATTTAATATTAATACTTTCACCTGGTATGGGGGCTTTCTAGCAAGGAGTGAAAACCCCAAGGAAACAGCTGAGCCTGAGAGCTTATATGCTATTTTGACAAAAAAGCAGTCAATTGTGGAGAAGTGGTAAGTCAAAAGAAAAGGGATCTGAACTCCTAAAGGGGTTAGATTGTGGGAAAGTGAGTGGGAAAGACATGGAGGAAACTAATGGAAGATAAGGGTTAGTTTAAGAGGTTTGTTTGTACAGCCCCATCTCAGGCTGACACCACTCTCCAGTGACAGGAACGTTCTCCTCTCCCTGGTCCCAGGAGGGCACTTTTCTCATGGGAAGTGTGCGCTCTCGGGTAGAAGGGGGAAGGCAGAGAGATCTGCCAACAGCTGCTGTTTCTTATTTGCTTTCAGCTCAAAATAATCCTTATGACAGTGTGGCATATTTGGGGAGGCATGTTCTGACCCCTCCAACGTCTAGGAAGTCAGGTGCATATTGAAAACAGCTGGTCCTCCTGGGGGTTTCTGTACATCATCAGATGAAGCTTAAAGGAAGCAGAGATGAGAAGAAAGACCATTTGGGATCACAGTTCCATGTCTTAGGAAAGAAACGCATGCTTACCTTTCATTTGGCTCCCTGGGAGCAGCGGCACAGGACTTTAGATGACTACGAGAAAGTAGCGTTTTCATATCACCACTGGGGAGCGTTTTCCTCCTCAGCCGCACTCAGTGTGGGTTGAAATCATTCTGCCGGCATCCCATCTACCCCTGGTGATTTATTTCTTCCCAACCCTTCCGGGGCAGCTTTGACTTCGCTTTCCAGAATTCCAGGTTCTTCCTCATAGCCGTCTTCTTCAAGAGTGTCTCTCATCCTTGTGTCTCTCCTGTGTGGATCTGAGTATGCCGTCTCCTCCTTCCCTTCATTTCCTCCTGGGCGCATAATGTGCTTCTTTGTGGGCAGTCCAGCATTTCTAGTACAGGGTTGGAGTACCTTTTATTGCTTTAATCTCTTGGTAGAGATCTTTAATTTTTCCTTTTTGTTTTTGTCTTCTATCTCCTTTACATCGAATTAGGAAATGCATTGAATTATGTAGAATTAGGAAAGATCATCAAGAGCAAAGATGGGTCATTAGAAACCAAGGTTAAGATCATACTCCTATTACCAATGACTGTTTATGGATGGGAAAGTTGGACAGTGAAGAAGGCTGATGGGAAATATTCGATTTATCTGGAATACAGGGTTGGAGGAGAGCCTGTGCATACCCTGGATCTCCAGGAAGATGAACAAGTGGGTGGGTCCCAGAGCAAATTAAGCCTGAAACATCGCTGGAGGTAAAAATGACAAAACTAAAGCTGCCCTACTTCAGGCACATCATGAGGAGGTAGGGTTTTTTGGAAAAAAATAAAAATGCTTGGAAAAATAGTAAAGAGCAAGAAGAGGAAGACAAAATAGGAGATGCAGTGGCTCCACAAAAGAAGTCATAGGCATGAGTCTACGGGAGCTGAACAGGCTGCTGAGGACGGGACACTGTGGACAACATTCACTCAGAGGGTCACCAGAAGTCGGAGCCAACTCAACAGCATGTAACACACATAACAGTGTCAGTATTAGTCACTAACCAGTTGCAAGATGATGAGCGGAAATTGGCTGAGGAATTAGATAACCAGAAGATGCTTGTTATGAAATAGTCACAGGTATGAGGGAATAAAGGGACCCTGCTAGCTTGCTGCTCTGCAAAAAATACATGTTTCATAAACGCCAGTTGACCTTTCTGCTTTCTATTTATGCAGAGGAAATGCCACCAGCTATTTTGGGTGGTGCAGACATAAGACACACAAAGGAGCATGGTAGAAGTTAATTATTTAATGTATTTGGACTGAGGCTGGAGCAAAAATTCTAAGTCTATTATAAGAGTCCAGCCATTACAGTGAGCTGACAAATAGCTCGAGGGGAAAACATACCCCACTCCTCTCTCAGGATGATGGGATCGCTAACTAACATGTCAGAAGGGAATAGGGCCAGGCCCCTAAGATGATGAAGAAGCAAAAGTGACAAATGAGTCAGAGAGGTGTGTGGGTGTGTGTAAAAAATAGACAGACAGAGACAGGAGATGAGAAGAGGGACAGGGTAGACACACAGTAGACAATATTTTTTAGTTATCTGACTTCTCCAGGGAGAATATACAGGGGACCCAGAGACATATGAAAGGATGCTCAGTATCACTAGCCATCAGAGAGATGCAAATTAAAACCACAATGAGATACCACTGCACACTGGTCAGAATGGTTATCATAGACAAAGCAACAAACAACAAGTGCTGGAGAGGTTGTAGAGAAAAGGGAACCCTAGTGCATTGTTGGTGGGATTGCAGACTGGTACAACCACTTTGGAAAACAATATGGGATTTTCTCAGAAAACTAAAAATGAAACTGCCTTTTGACCCAGTGATACCTTAAAAAAAAAGAAAAAATTCACCCTTAAAAAAATAGAAAATCCTGACATTTGTGACAACATAGATGAACCTGGAGGACATTATGCTATGTGAAATAAGTGAGACACAGAGAGACGGCATGATCTCATATATATGTGGAATCTAAAAATGTCAAACTCATACAAACAGAGTGTAGAATGGTGGTTGCCAGGGGCTGGGCCGGGGGGCAGCAGGAGGGAAATGGGAAATGTCGGCCAAAGGGTACAGTTATGTAGGATGGATAACTTCAGGAGATCTAATATACAGTATGGTGATGATTATTAATAACTCTGTACTAGTGTATTTTTGAAATTTGCTAAGAAAGTAAATCTTAAGTGTTCTCACCATGCACACAAAAGACAGTAACTATATGAAGCGAGAAATATGCTAATTTGCTTGTTACAATCATTTCACAATATGTACGTATATCAGAACATGTTGTATACCTTAAAAATATATCACTTTTCAATTATACCTCAGTCAAGCTGGAAAAAGATTCACCAGATAAATTAGAGGGAGGAAAAGATCTTACAAGCATGAAGAACACAAAGTTGGAAGCCACAAGTCACAGCCTTTTGGGTTCTGAGACCTTGAAATCTTTTTGAGCGGGTGGCACAGAAAGTGACTGTGGCAAGTCTGAGGGGCAGGAATGCTGACCAGCCTCCAAGACAGTAGTCCACGATCCTCACTTCTGGTGTTGCTGCTGGGCGGTTCCCCCTCTGGTGGCATAGTGGTGGCCCACGTGACCAGTAGAATACTGCCCAAGGGTGATTTCTGAGACTAGGTCATAAAAGACAAGGGTTCCATCTTGTTTGCTGGCCACAGTGTCATGAGGACTCTCAAGCAACCCTATGGAGAGAACTGTGTAGCTTTTGCCAGCAGCCAGCACCAATTTCCAGCCAAGTCAGCGAGCCCCCTGGGGAGCGCATTCTCCAGCCTCGGACAAGCCTTCATTTGACCAAAGCCCTGGCTGACATCTGGACTAAATCCTCCCAGGAAACCCTGAGCCAGAGCCATCCCGCTGCACCATTTCTCAATTTCTGACCCACAGACATTGTGAAGCAGTAAGTGTTTATTGTGAAGTCACTACATTTTGTAATACGTCTCAGCAGTAGATCACTAATACGGAAGGCAAAGCTCAGACCTGAGTTGTTGAGTTTTCACTGCTGTGTCCCGTGGAGAAGGACAGCCCCTGAAGTGTCGACAAGGCACAGCTTTTAGCTGGACCGTGAAACTGTGTGGAGCGCAGGGTGAGGCTGCAGGCGGGGCAGGGAGGTAGTTAGACAGTGTAGTCCAGGTGAGAAGAGATGGAGACCTGACCATCCGATGGATGACGTCTGGGCGCTGAAAGTGGAGACAATGAGAGGGAACTGGGAGAAGCCAGGACTGCAGGGCCTGGAGTGAGGGGACTGCTGAGGACTCTCAGGTTTCCAGCAGGTGACTGGGTGGGTGGTGGGCCATGCACAGAGCTGGGGAAATAGGAGATGCAGGTGGGTGGCGGAGGGGTTGGGGGCCTGGAGAAATACTGAGTTCATTCCTGGGCATGTTGGATTTGAGGTGCTTGTAGGGCGTTCAGGTGAAGAGGTCCCAGCCTGAGGCTGGAGGTATCTGGAAAGTTCTGTCCTTAGAGGGAGATAGAACTCCAGACAGCACAGCAGAGGATATTTTTCATGCCAGACCTGCAACAGCCAAGAACAGGGATGGCTTCTATAGAATGCCACCTCTTTTAAGGCTGCTAATTGTGCCTTCAGGTGTGTGAATGCCTGAAATGTAAAAGCATCCAGCCCTTTCAGGAAGTCTCTGTGGATAAACCCCAGCGGCTCTAGCTGACTGCCCTTTGCTGGTGGCGCCTCCACACCTTCAGAATCAGTGGTTTTCAACTTTGGCTCTGCATTTGAAAGACCTCGCAAATTTTAGGAGGATTAAGTGGAATGATTTTAAATTTCCTGGCGGATGATAGGCCTGGTCATA